TGGGGGGGGCTGGACCCCTACCCCAAGGGGACTGAGGCTGCCTGGCCCCAACTCCTGTAGCCACATCATGTCTGTCCTGTGTCCTGGAGAAGCAATAAACCCTCCTGTTCTACTGGCTGGCGGAGTCACATCTTGCTGCGGACCGGGGTGCAGGACTGGGGGGTACCTGACACACCACCACAGGAGGCAGCTAATTAGTTGTGGGGGAGGGGCCAAGTCCCTTTCCTATCGCGCCCCCCCATCCTGTGACAGTCCCCTGCCCTGTGCAGCCCCAGCTCATTTGCTTTCCACCCCCATTCTCCTGGCAGTTGCGGGGGACACGGTGTCCCGACCCCCACTCAGCGTAGCTGGGCCCTGTGCTAATGGTGTGGCAGACCGGGGGCTGGTAAGAGAGAGGCTTTGGCCGGGGGCAAGCGGCTTGGCTCCCCGGCTTGTGTCCCACCCCCCTCAGTGCCAAGGAGACACAGAGCACAGAGGGCCAGGACAGGGCAGCATGGGGCAGGCGCCTGCTGCCAGTGTGGTGACGCGTGCATGGGGGGGGGCGGCGACCCCTGCTGCCACCTGCACCACGCCCCGTGATCCCCAGGTCCCTTCCGACCATAGGACAGCTGGGGGGGGCATTGAGGGGTCCCCAAAAGCGTGGGGCCTACAGGCAGCTGCCCCATTTCATCCTATGGCCAGGCCGGCTCAGAGGGCAGGTCCCTTGCTAGCTCGGGGCCTGTGCGTAAACAGGGAAGCTGTTGCCCTCTCTGCTGTCAGAATCTGTCCTGGGGAGCGAAGCAGGCCATTCCGAAGGAGAAGCCAGGAGAGGGGGCAGAGAAGCAAAAATGGTTTGTGTGTGTGTGAGGAAATGAAGGGAAGCGGGCGAGAGAAGTGGCACGGGGACAGGAAAGGAGCAAGCGTATTTCAGAGGGATGGCTCACGAACGTGTTCCAGAGGGATGTTCGCAGCCGCTCCGCTATTCTGCAAGGGAAGGGAAGACAAATGAGAAATGCAGGGGGCAAAGATGACACAGTCAAACATTTGGCAGGGGGACATGTCACCGTGTGGTTAATTGGAAACAGCGGCGAGGTGAAAGTGGGTGAGTTCCCCCTCCATTTGAATAGGTAACCTCCCCTACCCCTGACAGAGGGAATACCAGACTAGATGGCCCTTAGAGAATTCCTGCGTTCCCCAGAGCAGAGACCTGGAGTTCATGCCTAATTCCAGAGTGACAATTAAATCCAGAGCTGTCCAAGTTCTCATGTGGCCGCACTGGCCTGAGTCTAAGAGAATTTAATCTGAGCTCAAGACCCCATTCTACTCGCCCCAGGTACATTGTCAGAGACAGGCCCTGACAAGTTTACAGTTTAAATAGATGAGACACAGGGTAAAAAAATCTGTTCTGTCCCCAGATACAGATTTTAATCTATTTTATAAAGGTTCGTATCGTGCCCTCATTCCTGTAGGACCGGAGCATCTTCCAAAGCACAGTCAGCCATGAGACTAATATCTGCCATGTGGGATGGGGAACCTGATTTGGGGAGAGTAGTTAACGGCTACGTCTAGACTGGCATGATTTTCTGCAAATGCTTTTAACGGAAAAGTTTTCCGTTAAAAGCATTTGTGGAAAAGAGCATCGAGATTGGCATAGACGCTTTTCCGCAAAAGCACTTTTTGCAGAAAAGCGGCTGTGCCAATCTAGACGCGCTTTTGCGCAAAAAAGCCCCGACTGCCATTTTCGCGATTGGGGCTTTTTTGCGCAAAACAAATCTGAGCTGTCTATACTGGCCCTTTTGCGCAAAAGGACTTTTTCCCGAATGGGAGCGGCATAGTATTTCCGCAAGAAGCACTGATTTCAGACAGTAGGAAGTCAGTGTTCTTGCGGAAATTCAAGCGGCCAGTCTAGACACAGCCAATGGGTGTGTCTAGACTGGCAAGATTTTGTGCAAAAGCGCTTGCTTTTGCGCAAAAATTTGCCACCTGTCTACACTGGTCACAAGAATTTGCGCAAGAGCACTGACATTCTAATGTAAGAATTCAGTGCTTCTTGCGCAAATACTTTGACACTCCTGCTCAGGGATAAGCCCTCTTGCACAAGAATACTTGTGCAAGAGGGCCAGTGTACACAAGCATCTTAGTTTTTTGCGCAAGAAAGCCCGATGGCTAAAATGGCCATCGGAGCTTTCTTGCACAAAAGCGCGTCTATACTGGGCATGGATGCTTTTGCGCAAAAGCATCCGTGCCAATCTAGACGCTCTTTTGTGGAAATACTTTTAACGGAAAAACTTTTCCGTTAAAAGCATTTCTGCAAAATCATGCCAGTCTAGACGCAGCCAATAAGTCTAGGCATTCTTTTAATAGTAGCTGAGATAACGCAGTCTGGTCCACCAATTGATCTTGTATCCAGTAATGGAATTGTAAAATGTAGTGCCATCTATGATCTGGAAGCTCTGGCCAGGATATCTGCATGCTTTTAGTAAGTGGGATTTTGATAGCCAACAGCATTTGGCAGGAAGCCACTGCCTGATTTTTCAAGGATATTTATATTCACTTAAGTCTAGGATGCAAGTGAAGGAAAGAGCAGCCAGCAGTGAAAAACATAACTATATATTTTCCATGGTCATAGCTAGTCAATCTTAGTAGATACTTTCTCTCTTCCACAGGCCAGGCCATGCATCAATGCACAAGGTTTAAAGTCCTAAACAGGTTTCCTGCTTTGTCCTTTCTTCCATTATATTGGTTGCCCTCGTGTAGACCTTTCGGCTACGTCGAGATTGCATCCCTTTTTCTGCACGGAGCTTTGCCGGAAAAAAGCACCAGTCTAGACGCGGATCTTTCGGAAAATAAAGCCTTTTCTGAAAGATCCCTTATCCCTCTTAAAATAAGGGATCTAGATGTAGCCTTCAGGTAAGCTAAGTCTTCCTCAGAAGGGAAGAGGGAAGGGGTTTCCCAGCAGCTGATGTGAGGGCTGTTTGCAGCTGAGCCAGTGGGGGATGCTCAGTTGCAGATGGTTCCTGGCACCTTCACAATTAATTCACATCTCTAGTGCTGGGGGCCCATTATTCCAAGGGCTCCGAGCTGGGCTGGATGGCATAGTGGTGTAAGGCATGGCTTGTCTACACTAGCACTCCTGCTGTGGCTCTGAGCTAAGCTAATGGGAGTGAGGAAAGCAGCAATGTAGACAAGACCTTCAGGATCACATGGGATTAGTTTGGGTCACCACTGCCAATAAGCCAACCAGTACAGAGATCTCAACTGAAAGTGGGCAGCAGTATTAGCTGTGTCCCCTTACGCAACTCACTGGTCTTCTGCCCCATTGCCCTTCCAAGAAGCACGACAGCAGCGCTTGGCTGAGAAGTTCCATCTCGGAGCACGGGCAGCCTGGCTCAGGAAAAGTGGTGCCCAGGATTATCCCGCAGAAAGAAGAGGCTCTGAAGGGTGGCTAGTTTGGATGCTGGCAACTGGGCTGGGCTTGTCAGCCCTGAGTGTGCAGCATGCACAGCCAAGGGCAGGGCTGAAGGTGTTCTGGCCCTGAAAGCACATTTGTCGGGAGGCGTCGCTGTTACCACGGGGTAATGCTCTGACAGCTTGAATCAATCCTTGGGTTGGATTTCCAGGCCTGGCCCAGCTCTAATGGTCTCAGTGGGGGCTGGAGCAGACCCATCTCACTAATGAACATTGCTGCGCAATTGGCAATTCCAGCTCAAGGACAGACCAGACGGAAAGGGCCGGGGGTGTGCGCAGAAACGCTGCGTACTGCCAGACTGCTACACTCGCCTTGGCCAGCACCATGACTTCATCGCTCTCAGGGTTACATACCTAATAGCTTCTTAAAGGGACAGGGCTATTTTAAAATCCACAGCCAATGTTTTCAAGTGATCTCAAGTTTGGGGTGCTCAGGATTTGCGTGGCACAGAAATGTGGCTTGCAGCTATTCCCCAACCCCTACAATACTTTCAGCAATACTGAATTTAGACTGTACTGAAGAGTGTCTGGCCCCAAATGGTTAAAGGACCAGGGAGCAATGCATAAAATTGTGCTGTCTCAAATATTTCACTCCTCCATTTGCACCCCACCCTCTTCTTGAGGGAAATACAAAGAGGCCCTTTTATAGCTGCTGCGGATGAGAAAGCCAATTTATTTCTTTGTCCCTTATAAGCATATGCGCACCAGGCTCTGCCTGACAATGGGGTAGTGACTGGCAGGTCTATTCTGCTGTGGGAGAACAGAAACAAGACCTGGAGATCTTTGGGGGAGCAGGTGCCACTTGCTTCAGTCCCCAGGGCTCGCTTGCAAACACAGCTGCACGGAAAAACACTTTCTAGGGCAGAAAGCTGCCTCCAACACTAATTCCTTGGCGTGTTCCTCCCCTTTTCACTGCTGAGCTGATCCTGGACCTTACCAAAGTAGGGAAACAAACTTGGATTTCTTAGCCGACTCCCAAGTGAAGCAACTAGAATATTAAAGACCCTCATTGCTGCTGGGCTGGCCTGATCCAAAGCCCATGGAAATTATTGGAAAGACTCACATTTCCTTCCTCACTGGGACTGTGATCCAAAGCCCAGTGACCTAAGCACAAAAGCTCCATCGGGTGTACGGGGCAGGGAGAAGCGTTTGTTACATAGAAAAGGCCGGTGGATGGGGGAAGAATTACTGTCCCATTTCTGGGAAAGTTTCACAAGCAACCATGTAAAAAGCCTGCAGTACTGGAGAAACACTTGTTGGAGTTCTGCCTCAGGGCACACCTGTTCCCTAGAGCCCATTCATGCACCTGGGGTCTCCCCTTCCTTCTCGTGGAAGGTGGGGATCTGGGGTTTTGCTTCCCCCCACAGCAGCATTTCCACTCCTACCTCCTGTGGGCAGCTCTGTGGGACAATGCACATTAGCTCTGCAGACACACAGCCAGAGGAAGTTTTACTAGCCCCCCCTTCCATGCTGGTGAGCCTCCACCCTCACCGGTTGCAGAGGGGTGGGCCTGTGGGCAGAACCCCCGCTGTCTCTCAGGGGAGGGTGGCAAATGGAAGCAGTAGCTCAAGAAGGGGATCCCTGCAGTGGTCTCTGTGCCTCCCCCAACATTGCCATCACCGAGGAGAACCATCCAGTTCCGGTGTTATGTCAGTGGCCTGTCAGCAGGATATGCCCTTTCTACAAATTAGAGCTTTATCAGCCCCTGGCTGATTGATACAGAGGCAGCAAGGAGGGATGAGTGTGTGTACTCAATAACTCATAGTCGCATAAACAACCGATAAGCCTAACATCCCTGTGCCAGACCGGGGAGTTTCTTTTGCCATTGTCTTCCAATTCTTAGTGGAGATGTGCTGCATTATACGCAAGAACACAGCATGCCAATGGCTTCTACATTTTGAAAGGGGAATATCACAACTAGCAGAGAAACATTATATAGCCATCTAAAACAATTACTTTAGGGCAAAAGGATTAAAATCAGAAGCATCAAGATGGGAAAAGAGACAGTCATTTATACTGGTTATTTTAATAGGCGCATTGAAGTACAAAAAGATAAACTCTACTTGTATGGCACTGCTGTATACAGAACTGCAGATATATCCCAGAGAGTCGGGTCGCTCTCAAAGACCATATCAGCTCACAACAGAATGAATCAAAAATCTTAGCAAAAGTTTGCATGATACCTTACCATGACAATAAATGCTGACATATTAGTTCTATTTGTCCGTTTGAATACTGCAAGTGTACAATTCTGCAATATAAAAATAGCAGGTCTGAGAAACTTTTTTTGTACCTCAGTACATCCACTGTATAGTAAATTCTGAAGACAAGTCAATGGAGTCTTTCATCAGTTTTGTTAACTGCAAATGTGCTATTCAACTGAATTCAGTTCCTCCTCGGTATAATTTACCTGACTCAATTCTCTGATATATTTACAATGTATAAGTTTTCATTCCTACTACAACAGTATGTTTTTGGCCTAACACCAGGGAGTTGTGAGTATGCAATAGAGAACCTTTCTAAATATATCCTTAAAGTGCAAAATACGCATTTTCACACAATGGCATGAAGATATACCCAAGTCTGAAAAAGTCCATGTGCTCAACATAAAAAATAAGGAACGTGCATTGAAACATGCTCAAAGTATGGAAACAATTATTTCCTTTTTTCCCTTAACATGTGACTGAGTAAACATTTGAAATAGGTTCTATAATAGTGTTGCTAAAGTGATTTAAAGCTTACAAGAATTTAGGATAAAGCACTGATTTCAGGAGAGCTATGATTTGATAAAGGCACCATATTCTTTCCTGTTATTTTAGTTCACTTAAAAATATGTTTACTACTCCTCAGAATCCACAGACTGTTAACTTGATTTGACGGTGGACACTAACCAAAGACAACAATAAATTAATAGTACAGGTTGAACCTCTCTAGTTCGGTACTGTCTGGTTCAGCAACATCCATCGTCGGGCATGATTTTAGTTAGCAGGGTGTCTTCTTATCATGGGTGTGGCCACCATTTTTCCCACAGTCCCATAAAGTTTGTTTACAACCACAAGTCCTGGCTCTCAGGGTTCTGTGCTATTTATTTAGCTCTACTTTACTCCAAATATCTTCTAAGAAAGAGCCCAGCAAGCCATGGAAGTGTAGGTTTTATTGCTAGACAATATTAACCTCTCGAAGTTCAGCAAATTCTCTGGACCAGCACAGGCCAGGTCCCAAGGTTGCCGGACTAGAGGTTCAAATAAGGATGCAGATTAGAATCTTTCCAACAACACATTTCTTATATTGAAAAAATTAACAAACACCCCCCCCGTTTCAGCTGTGTTGCAAAATGATGTTTTGGAAGTTCAAAGTTGCTCAAATTAATCTGAATGACAAATTCTGCCTACTTGCCTTATTTATTTTTTGAAATGATGAATCAAAACTGATCTTCAGGATGACACAGTAAGACCTGCAGTTCTTCATATTTCACTCAAGACCCCAAGTAATGCTTGGATACTGAGCAGAACTTTGTGATAATTCCTTGGGAAAGTAAGAAAGTCTCAGACACTATTTTCTAGATATTTACAGTGTTTTAGAAACAAATTGCACTTCACAAGTTAAAACCTCAATCTTTCCCAACCCAATTGCTGGTATCAGTGTAAGCCAAAAATTGGACTCCAATTTGTGCAACAATGTCACTACATTAATCTTCACCCAAGTGTATCTCAATTTGCTTTTTGCATGCAAAAACTCATCCTTCCCCTTTTTAAAAAACATTCCCTATAAAACTGTACATTTTGGCTGGCTGACTGCTAACCCTTACCACTCTAGCTTAGAAAAGACAGCCTACCTATTTAAAATAAAACAGCAAGGATGAACTTTGTGAAACTATCGTAATCATGTAACATTTTGAATACAACAGATTGTATGGTGCACTGAGAGACTTGGTGTGAGTAAGAAAATTGTTTGCATTGCACTTTTAGAATTCCACTTCAGAATGTTTTCTTGAAAAACACTGGTGACACACAGAGGTTTTTATTTGACAGAAATGAACTCCGCCACTCTCTCCCCCCTATTTGGGATGGGACAAGAGGAACCACACCCAGTTACGGTTTTAGTGATTGTTACTGTTTTCCATCTTGATGCTACTCTCTGTCAGGCTGATGTTGTTCCGGGCTGTCATCTTGTTGCTGCTGTTTCTGCTCTTGTCTTTTCTTTTCAGCCAGTGCTTTCGCCCTTGTCGTCATTGCTCTGGGCCTGATGTTGCACCTCTCTTCATCCTGCTGGTGCTTTTTACAATGTTTCTCAAATGTAGACATTTTGGCATAAGTCCGGTTGCAAACCATGCAATGATATGGCCGCTCCCCACTGTGTGTTCTCATATGAAGCTGGAGATATGAGGATCTAGAAAATGTTCGGCTACAAACAGAACAACGGTGAGGCTCGCGGGCTTCATGTGTTTTTAGGTGCTGCTTCAGAGAGGAGGCCTGCTTAAAGGCCTTACTGCACGTGGTACATTTGAAATTCCTCTCCCCAGACTCAAGAAGTTGATGTGACATAAGGTGAGCAGAGGAACGGAAGTTCTTCCCACACTTGTCACATTTGTAGGGCCTCTCCCCAGTGTGAAGGCGGACATGCAGTATCAGTCCTGCCTTCTGTGTGAAGGCCTTCTCACACTGGGTGCATTTGAAAGGTCTCTCCCCTGTGTGGACACGTCGGTGAGTCTTCAGGTGTGAGGCACGCCCGAAGTTCTTCCCACAGTCCTCACATTTGAAAGGCTTTTCCCCCGTGTGGATTGCTTTGTGCCTCACAAGGTGTGAGGACTGAAGAAAGAGCTTCCCGCACACATTGCACTTGTACTTCCTCTCGCCGGTGTGGGAGCGCAGGTGCAGCGCGAGGTGGGAGGAGGAGATGAATTTCTTGCTGCAGAGGGGACAGGTGTGGGGCCGCTCGCCGGTGTGAATGCGCTTGTGCAGGACCAGGCCGGAGGACAGCGCAAAGGTCTTGCCGCACATGGGACAGGTGTAGGGCTTCTCTCCCGTGTGCACACGCTGGTGCTTGACCAGCGCCGAGGCGTGCGCGAAGGCCTTTCCGCACAGCTCGCAGCGGTGGGGCCGCTCCGCCGCGTGGGACACCCCGTGCAGCGCCAGAGCGCCCGGCTGGGCGAACGCGCGGCCGCACTCGGGGCACTTGAAGGGCCGGCTCACGAGGGCGGGCTCGCCGC